CCCACGCCTGTCTCTGCCTAACCCCCTCCCCATCCCCAAGCCTGGATATCAGCCCACATTTTAGAGTCCAGCTGGGACGCCCGGGGCACAGCGGCTGTGAGAATCCCTCTGTCCCGTGAGCTCTGCCCAGTCCCGGCCCGTCTGGCCCCGAGAACGCCCTCCGACCGCTGGAGAGTTACGGCCGTCATTCATCACTCCTTTTCTTGAGGAGGCGCTCAATGAGGGCTTGCCGAATTTAATTACACATGAAGCTCCCTGGGAGAATCACTAAAGGCACAAAGAATCAGTCAGTTCTCATATGTGTTTATCTTCTTAGTCATACACAGGTTTCGGGGATCCCAGGGTTACCTTGGGAAACACCAGGTACCCCCCCCACGGCCCCAGAGAGGAATTTCACCTCGGCCGCTCCTGAGGGAACCCATGGAACCGAGGGACAGGTGGGAGTCCACGGGAGTCCCCCATTTGTGAGGAAGGAAGACCCTGACACGTCTACAAAATACACAGATGTGATGTGCGTAGCGCTAGGCGGGAGGGAAACACGCTCAGGGGCCTGACTCAGGCCATGAAGCAGAGCGTAAGACGCCCGCACACAGTCCGCACTCACGAGAAAAACGCTGACGCAAAATGGTCACCATTAACAAGTCACCCGCATCTTCGTTTCCGATCATTCTAAATGCTCCCGGTTACGACAGATGAAAAAACAAACCTTTCTAATTCACGACACTAACCGCAGTATATATGCTTTTTTATACAGAAACAGTAAAATGCTTCAGGTTAATTTTTCTGGAGCATTTTCATTGTTTTCTGCACGCACACACTCTATTATCCGATTTCCACTCGTTTTTCGTTTTCAGGCCTAAATATTTTCCAAGGAAGCTATACCTATGAAAAAAATGGGTGTGAAAATAAGAATGAATCTTTCAAGAAGGCTCCTAGTTGGGGACACGGCCGATTTCTGCGTCAGCGTCAAACAAGTCAAGACAAATACATGTTGAAAGTGCGCCCTTTGTTCGGTTTGTAAGACACTGGCCCATGTTCACCAAGACTCACAGCAGCCTCGGCGGTGGGAGACAGCTGCCCCTCGCGCCCCTTTCTTGCTCCCGCGCCTCCCACAGGACACCAGACACGGGGCGCGGGGTGGCTCACACGCCGGCTTCACTCTCGCAGGCGAACCAAAGGTGGCACCAGAAATTCACTTTTCATGTTAACGGCCTAGAGCCCACCGCTCTCCCGGCGCCATCGCCACCCAGAGGAAGGACCCCATCCCCTGCCCTCAGGGGAGCGTGGCCCAACCACAGGCTGCCGCTCGGACTCCGTGTCACCTGATCACCAGCAGAACAAATCAGAGATATTTAAAAAGTGCTCATGTCGGGAGACCGGTGGCCTCCCCGTTTCTCCGCACACCTGAGACGTGAACCCCACACCCCACTTTGGAACCGGACGACCTCGGGGATGGAAGCACCCGCCTGTCCCGCCTACGGGAATGAGGTCCCCTCAGAAGACACGCCGTTTTATCGCCTCTCAGGTACATTAAATATGCATGTGACCTCACAAACGGCTCATAATAGCTGTGGATGAAAAATGAGAACCTAAATGGCCTCAAAATAGATGTGATTTTTACACTGGGTAACAATTAACACTAATGAGGGGTCATCGTACGTTAGGCCAAACCTGGTTGATTCAAAGTGTTAGAAACATATTTTAGGAAACGAAACATATTTTGTGACCATAAACTCACTTATTTTGTGCGTGTATCGAGTGAACAGATGCTTATCAAAGATCTAAGAATAACAAAATTAAAGAATCAGAAATTCATAACTGGTGTTAATGGTGTGACTTACGCCTATGAGAAACATATTAGTTAAACTGACGTGTTCATAAGGTTAGACGCTTAATACATTGTTAGGGCAGGGAGAGAAATCCCGAAGGTGTAAAAACAAACACAAAATTAAGGCATTTGGATTAGCCACGTCTGTTGAAGACCAATTTTAAATACGGACGCTTCTGTGCTGGGCTAACCAACACCCCCTACAGGCGGCCAGGGTGGTTCTAGCTGGCGGGACTGCTGCAAGATGCCGGAAGCCACACCCGAGGCCACGCCCAAAGCCACGCCCCGAAACCACCCCAGGGCCACGCCCCTCCCCACATTCCTACCTCGTGGAGTCCAGCGAGGGCTTCGTCCGGCNTACAGGTGGCCAGGGTGGTTCTAGCTGGCGGGGCTGCTGCAAGATGCCGGAAGCCACACCCGAGGCCACGCCCAAAGCCACGCCCCGAAACCACCCCAGGGCCACGCCCCTCCCCACATTCCTACCTCGTGGAGTCCAGCGAGGGCTTCGTCCGGCCCTGGCTGCTCTCTTCCCAGACGCTGTTGGCCAGCTCGTTCCCGATGGACGACATCACCTTGATGAGCTCGATTGGCCAGTCGTCCAGGTCCAGCGATCGGACTCGAGAAAGGTGGGTGCCGAGGTTCCGGTGGATCCCTGAGCACTCGATGCACATGAGGGCCCCCAGGTTCAGACTGGCCCAGTTGGGATCTGTGGCGAGAGGAGCAGGTGCCCCATGGGGACAGATCATCACCCCTCATGCCACTGGCCTTGGGATCTCAGCAACAAAACGCTAGCCGGTCGGACGAGCTTGAAAACGCTCCCCGGTCAGTTCTTGCTACTGTTTTGGAAGGCGTGAAAAACTGAACATGTTGGTGGCTACTTTTAAATATCAGGCTTTGGCCAAAGCCTTGGAATGTCCCACCTAATAAACAATCGCAATAGCTGGTTGGCACAGAAAGATGCACTTTCTGATGCTTCCACCTTCCCCTCCAAGTGGCAGACACACAGGAAAAAACCCTGTGACTTGGTGTCCGCTGTGGACGGCTGCTGGCAAGGGGCAGCCGGGCCACTCCAAAGCTGTAACGTCCCCACAACTACTTCTGCACCCTCGGGCACATCCCAGTTCTCATTAGTCATGTGATGGGCATGACTGTAAATTTCCAAGATAAAAGAGAGGCACACACTATGAAAACTATGGTTTCCAGCAATATTATTTCAGAGAGACCACCGAAGCCCCTCCCAGCGCCTGCCGCATTCTCCCCGGTGGCTGGATGGCGGGCGGGGCCTTGGGGAGGGTCCCACCCGTTAATAGTTCTTCGTTTTTTGCACATTGGAGATGTTGTGATGTTTTGCTCTATAAACAGCAGGGTGACGAACTTCTCTGAAGCTAGATCTGCACCCCACCCTGGCCCCCAGCTTAGCTCCTGAGGTGCACAACCAGAGTGAGGGGAGCTCACGCCATGAAGGCCCTTTATGTCCGTAGCCAGACAGTTCTTCGTCACTCTGGGGATAGGACATTTCCCAGCACTTCCACCCAAAGTCCTTGTCAGTGTGTCATCTACTCGTGCCCCTGACCTCGGTCCCTCCACCTGCCCTTGTTCTCTGAGAAAACGCAGCAGGTGGTGAGAGCTTGGCTGGCATCTGGCTATGCGACCTGCTGTTTGTAGCCTGACCTCCAGTCTCTTCATTTCCTCCCCATAAATGGGCCCTACAGTGGCTCTAGCTATTACAGAGCCGCAGGAACTAAAAACAGACGTGGGCCACTGCAACCCAGCTGGACTCCCCCGCCTCCCGCGCCCGCCCCGCCCCGCCCCGCGCCCACTCACTCTGGGTCTCGCAGTCCACACAGTGCGAATTCCCTCGGATGTTCCGTATCGACTGCAAGGCCATGGCCTCGCTCTGGCTGGTCAGCCGGGACTGGACATACGGGGAGACACAGAAATGCAAGATATGAGAACCCCGAGAGAAACGACGTGGCTACTAATAACGTCGGGGAAAAATCAAACAGATTGTGAGCAAATAAGGCAGGAGGGCAATCTCGGACAGCTACTCCTCTTCCGACGACTTCGGGAAAGAGAGTGACTGGTGGGGAAGGCACCTCGGCATCGAACCCAGGGCCCTTCAGGCTCTAACCACGGAGCCAAACCGGCTAGGGCGACACTGATTTTTATACCGAACTTGGAGATGCGTCGGTTCAGCAATACGAGCCCTCCCCACTCCTGCTCTGAAGCTACAGACCCACGTGCGGTGGGAGCCGTGCGCGTGGCTCCCCGCTGGCGGGGAGGCCGGGGGCAGCCACGGTTGCTCCGGGGCCACGTGTGTGGCTGTGTGACTATGAGGCCTCGGTGCTCGGGAGTGAGAGGCAGCGATGCAGCCCACCTTGGGTATCAACCGCTTTAAAAAAGAGAACAAATTGCATTGTGATAATAATGACGGCGGTCGGGCTTACGTTGGTTAAAGAGGGTAATAAAATAAGACGCTCCATCTTCCTGAGACTCCTTCCCCTGACAGAGCGGAATATAAATCACGGGCAGAAACTCCTTCAAATCGTTACAGATGAAACTGCGGGTCGGTGGGCAAGGTCCTTCCTCCTAGTGTCGCGTTGACTAGAGTTTGAAAATGCTCTCCAGGCCTCTGACACGCCCCGGAAAAGGAGCTGAGAACACCCAAGCATTAAAATAATGACTCTGAAAATGGGGACAGTGACTCTTGTAGAAGGAACGTCACTGGGCCGGGGCCTAGAAAAGGCAGGTTTAAGTCGTCTTGTTTTTCTTGGCTAAACAAATGCAAAGTAACTACTTCTAATTACTGAATAAAACATAAAAAGACTTTATGGCAGAGCTTAGGAAACGGACAACTCCCTGCACGCTCATGCATGTGCCCACGCATGTGCCCACGCATGTGCTCACATATGTGCGTTTACTTTGGTTTACGTCTGTATCAAGTGCCAGTTTCTAAGGTGACACGGATTTAAATTTATGAGGACAGCGCAGTGCATCTTTTTAGTCTGCATTTTTTTCCTGAGTGTATTCCGCCTAAAATAAAAACAAACGTGGACACATAAGCTTGATAAGAGTCCAAAAGACTCCATCTCTTACAATAAAAAAGGTCAGTGCCTTAGAGGTGGGATTAGTTGAGAGTAAAGGTTTCAGTGGGACATTTGGCCATAGGAACGCGGTTAAGCTAGGATACGTTCTGACACACGGTTTGATACGTTCTGACACAAAGTGTCCCCCGATCTTTTCCACCGGTTAGCTTTTTTTTTAAAATATATCTTTATTGATTTTTTTAGAGGGAGGAAAGGAGAGGGAGAGAGAGACAGAAACATCAATGATGAGAGAGTCATTGATCGAGCCCACAACCCGGGCATGTGCCCTGACCGGGAATCGAACCCTGATCGCCTGGATCCCAGGTCGACGCTCAACCGCTGAGCCACGCCCGGCCGGGCTCCACCGGTTAGCTTTTTGCTCAGAGAGAGGACCGGGATCTTGTGGGTCACACGTCATGTGACGCTTTGCCCTCCCCTGGGCATCACTAGGCCTCCAATGATCAGCTGCCCTTGATTTCGGGGGACAGCTTCCCACAGGCCTTCTCTCGTTCTTAAAAGATTTTTCTTAAATTGATTTTTGGAGAGAGAGGAAAGGAGAGGGGGAGAGAGAGAAACATCGATGTGAGGGTAACACATAGATTAGCTGCCTCCTGCGCCCCCCACAGGGGATGGAGCATGTGCCCCGACCGGAATCGAACCGGCAGCCCCTTGGCGCACAGGACGATGCCCGACCCACCGGACCCCCTGGCCAGGGCCTTACCTTGTTCTTGCTGCTCTCACAGGACTGCAAGCTGGCCAGGATCTGGCTCTCGATGGCTTGGACCCATGCATCTCTCTCTTCATACGTGGTGGCCTCGAAGTGCCACGTCTGGCCGGTGAGGGACACGATGATGAATTCGAAGTTTTCTTCTTGCTCTGAAACAGCGGCGGGGATGCAGAGTTGAGCTTTTGTGTGACCTCAGCCCCTCCGCCAGTCCTGGGTCATAAAGGTGCCGCTGGGTCAATCACGCCTGGGGGGGGGGCTGGCGACCCGAGCGCGGGGCTGGATCCGCAGACCCACAAACACTCAGGTCTGGCTTCTGCAGCCAGTGGGGCCCAGCCAGGCCTCCACCAGAGCCCGGGGCTGGGGAAAGGGGATACCAGCTGGGATGTCAGCATCCCTGTGACGGGCACAGACGAGGCGACGCAGGAAAACACCAACGTGACCCACTGCCGGCCAGCCACACCCGAGAGAGACTAAGCGGGCGCTGCGAGCCTCAGGGCAGTTTGGGTGTCTCTGCCGCACGTGTGCGCAGATCCAGGCGCCCGCAGCATGGAGGGGGCCTGGGCGTCTGCCCTTTTCCGTCAGAAGGCCCGGGATGGATCTAACTCCGCCGTCTCCAGGCTGGCGGAGACAGCGGGACCCCGGGAGGCTGGAAGGGACCTTGTGGCCCCCGTGGGGTGACAGCAGGGGTCAGCAGGAGTCGGGCTGGCATCAGATCCCGCCGGGCCACCTGCCACATCGGGCTCTGTGGGCAGGTACCGGGGTCCCCGGGGCCTCTCCTCAGCCCTGCAGCGGGGGGAAGGCCCCTGCTCTCAGCGTTCCCCACTGGCTAAGCTCGGGCCGCCAGGACCGCCGGACACCTCGCGGGTGTCGGCATCTGTCCGCTTTCCTCACTGCCCGCCCCGCCACAGGACGAGAGACGCACCGCCCGCCGCAAATAACTGCTAGGGGGCCTCTCGCCGGACCGCCAGGCTCCACACCTCATTTCACGCCGCGTTTCCAGTCGCCGGGCCGCGAACTCGCCGCACCGCGGAGCCCGGCGCGCAGTTGTTATTAATAACGGCGAGAACCCCCGACCGCCTCGCTGGCCGCCGCTTCGGTTAATCGCCACCGCCCC